ACTGCAGCTGTTCTTTTGTAACACTAGAAAAGCATACCGCTATCGTTTCTTACCAGTAGCCCTACGAACCGACGAGGGCCGTCGTGGCAGCTCGGTCGCCTCAAGCCAATCTCGCCTAGATGAGAAACAAAAAGATCAGATTTCAGGGGGATCGCGCATCAAAGTGGAACTTGTTTGGCGTCACGCCAAGGGCTTTGCACTAACTTCAACTCCAAAGCGTGAGGTGAGCTGTAGCTTTCACTATTGCTAACTTTTTTTGCCTTACAGTCACCAGTATTACTAGTAATATAAAAATCCATGATTACTACCTAATACTTTTTGTGTTAAAAGAATTGGAGGTGGAATTGTGCCAACGATCAAAAGTGGCATTCACACCAGATTGCTCCTGCAGGAGTTCAAACTTGGGTTAGGATTGAACCCATTGCGAACCTGTACGTGGTGTATGTAAGGCCTTTAGCTGTCCCTCCTCATCACTAACTTCAATAATAACCTATCACATATCACCTACATATCAACAAATATGTTGTTTTCCGTATACCAAAGGTTAAAAGTATCCCGGGAAAGAAGAAAGCGGTTGAGTAAATCATGCAAAGTGATCCTCGTCACGGTGACGGCGTGGTGCCCCATGTGCATCACGCGGTACGCAATGTTTTGGAAGGTGCCTTTGAAAGGGCCATTTGCGTTTTCTCCTAGCTTAGCAGAAAAATAATGAAAATTTATGATGAGAAATATGAAGAAGTAGCATTGATGCCAAGAATTTTCACACCTGGAGGTGCTTTATGAACTAGAAAAATTCAATTTGGTCTCTGTTACACATTTAATGCAGTTAACTTTTTAGTCAAGTGAAGTGGGATACAAAGGTACTATCGAGGGCTAAAATAGAGGCTAGGCCTTGCAGATTGGGATCCACTGATTATCATCTGATGTTTGATGAAAAACAGCGACTCATGGACAGCTGTGTGTGTGCGGGTAGGAAACTTGGGTCATAAATATTTTCCTGCAACAGTTCCCGAGTTCATTGGCGTCAGTGTGGTGTCGAGTTTGAGTAATGAGGTGAATCACATAAGTGAATTATTGCTGTGATCTGTAGAAGAACTAGAGAAAAAAAGTTGGTGAGCCAGACAAGTTGCCGAGTAAGGGGGGACCGCATGCGATGCTATCGCCAGCTGTCGGATACCTTCTGATCGATCGGCGTTACTCAGTTTTTGACACCGATGCAGCATCATTCATTATCAGTTGACAATCATCCATTACGCTCTTCCTCCTCGGAATGCCAGCGCCTCACTTCTGTGCTGCCGCCAAAGAACAACGGGCATGTTCAAAATACATCAAAATGAAATGCGGACTGCTGCAACCCCGGTTTCAGCACTGATACGAGCCAGCCATCTGGCCCATTTTCACCAGGATAAGTACAAATGAACCCTTACATGACTGCCAGAAAGGGAATATAGAGCATTAGGATCTTCAGTCAGATTATTCCGTGCCAAAAACGTCACAAACAGTCGACCCGACGCGATGTTTACTGGTCAAGACGGTAGACGTCGTTTGGGGTGATGTGTATACATAACCTCAACCAAGCACTGACTTCTGACTAGTCACGTCTGGCGACTCCAATACCTCACGTCCGTGGCCAGCACTCTCTCACTCGACCCCCCTCCCACCGAACCGGCCGGCCCCGCCTCCGCCACCACCAGGCCATTAACCGCCCCTCCCGCCACACGTCGTAAATCAAAAATTCGGCAACTTACCACGCCATAAATTACTGACGGACCACTTCCGATTGGGCGGCATACTGTACTCGATCGGAAGGTTGAAATCGTCTACAGTATCTCTAAGCTAACTATTCGAATGATCTACTCTATATTCATCTAGTTACAATGTCATTACACAGTAAGTATTAAGATTTTATAATTATTGATCACTTTACTGAAATAGATTAAATTTAAATGCTTGAACAGATTTTATTTTGGAACACAGTGGCGCATAACGCGTCTTTGCGAGTATGATAAACGGCTTAACTGCTCGGTTTTTGCTGGCCAACGCTGTTATCTTCGGTCTGTCGAGGTTCCACGGTCGAGTGTATTGTATGGAAGGGAGGGGTATGTGTGCGTGAGTGTGTCAAAAGAACACCTCAGTATCAAATGGATAAATCGAATTGATAGCCCCTAAGCCTGTCATCAATGTGCAAAAGACTAGAATAAGACCTCGACTCGTCGGACAGCAAAACTGGTGATCATTTCGACGTCCACACCTTTGTGTTATTGCAGCTTCTCCTCATCGAACACTTCTGACGATGCTCCAAGTGCTCATCACCGCTGTCGTCACACTTCATGCGGTTATCTTGACACCGGAAACTGAAGCCGCTCATGGAAGTGAGTTTTACTTGATCGTTATATCACAGAGCTGTTCGATTGCTTCTCAGAACGCCTCGTTCTCCTCTTCTTTGATCTCTGTCATACGAGCATTCCGCCTCGAGACATACGTAGTTTTTGTGTAAGCGTCTGTGAAATTAATTGTGCTGATCAGGCACGGGGAGCATCAGCCTCCGAGCTGTGTTTCTCATTGCTGGATCGTAGTGATCCACCTCCTGCTGCTCTTCCTCTCTACTGCTGTCGCATTTTTCGTTGCCTACTTGACCCGTAGTCAATGTCAAGTATCAATTCTCGATATGTACTTCTGCTCTTCGATACCAATTCATATGATCATATTCTATTGATTGGACACTTAAACAGGTCCCCTTTACTCTCTTTACCCTTCTGTTAATGCCCCCAATGTGCATGTTCCGCAAAATGGCGTGAGTTCGAATGCGCATCACCTGCTATGGGAAAGCCGAAGCTGTCCGTCAGCTTCTTCTATCGCAAAATTGATGTTCCATCGTGTGCCGCGTTGCGTTCGTGCTCTGTCTTTAAGCGATTTAATTCGATGCCCTTTACATTTCGCGTGGTCGCGTCGCGTTGCGTTCGAATTTGGTCGCGGCGCGCGATTTGAGTGACGTTTTGATCCCACCGTATTTGGAATGGAAATGGAGCTGTCGATGGCATCAAAAGACACCCTGCTCGAGCAGTCAAATTAGCATAAAATTCGCCTGCTGAGAATCAGCCCCGATTTCTGATTAGGTAGATGAGAGGTGTAGAGCACGTGGTGCTGAGCCGCTCCTCTAATCATCACCACCAGAAACAATTAAACCTCACAGATTGAGTTGACATGACAGCAGCAGCAGCAGCAGGCGGTCGGCCAGGCAAGCAGGCAGAACACTTAATTCACATTTGCAATTAACGACCAGCACACTTGGATACGACAAAAGGCGTATAATTGCGGCCGTAGTCCGTAATTAGCATATACGTCCCTGAGGCATAGCTGAGACATGCTCTGATTTGAGCTCACAAATGGGGTAGCCCTGCTTGGTTCCTAATAAGGCGTGCAAAAACCACTTGCAAGCGTTGCTAACAGGGTTACATGGCGACATGCACACGAGGGATTTCGTTGTGACCTGGGAAAGTTTCGCCGCCCCAAAGCCTCAATTCAGTGAGAACTGATGTATCATCGATGTGGTTACCCGGTCGGGACGGGTTTGGCAAGCATGTTAACCTTGATGTCATGAGTATCGTAGCCGCCTTCACTATCTCCGTATTGCATCCTCTCCTCTAATGACAACCCCTCTCAGGTATCGTGACGTTGACATGCACTTACCGTACCGCGATCATCATCATTGATACGCCGATGTCCTCACGGACAATTGTATATGCTGAATTCACTCATCCGATCCTATCGTAACCCTTATATGACGATCAATACGGCTCATAACTGGATGGACACGTAGAAAACGGCTCAAATTCGCGGACTGACGGGGTCGGGGGACGGTGATCCAGTGGTCGTACATGGTCTCCGGTTACATCGTCTATCTAGCACCAAAAGCAATTAGCCTAGGAGCTTCTGCGAGCCTGCCAGCTGTGTTTCGTTAAGATTGGGTGGGCTGTTTATTCTGAAGACTATGCGGACAAGACGTCGTTCAGCTCGATCAGCTGTTGCTCGGCACGTTTTTGCCGTGTTCCTTATCAACACTAGAAGTGCTATGCAACAAACGATCACTGATAAATGGTCCGGCAAATTAAGCAATTACTCATCGCGTCGGTTTCAGATTAGTTGAAAGGCGGAGGTGGGAATGAGCAGAAGTTAACGTCCAAATTCCGGAGGAAAGTGAAATACGGAAATCGGAAATACGTATTTTTTCGTTTGTCAGGATTTCTGAGATATAGAAACAGCTATTCACTATACAATTGATGGCGTTCCATGGAACTCTCTTGCATAGCACATACGTTGCTGGACACGTTTCCTGTTTCGCCTCGTTGCCGTAATTGCACTCCACCACGCCAATCTTCGTTTCATCATAACAGCTCGCCCTACTTAATAATGCGTAATAGAACTCCGCTATGTGGACATTTCATGATTCCCAACGCACTTCCTCACTGGCTCCAGGGATAGGCCTGCTCACAATCAGATTAATATTTATTACATCCTGTATGTGAGACTGGGAGTCAGCAAGTGTGGACAGGGTGGGTGGGGGTGCTGACCTTGCGCGATTGTAATCCGAACTCGCCTCTATCTCTGCTACCACATCTCTTGAGAGGATTATATTGGGCTGTACCTGGTCTCTCCGCCACCTGTGCGATATGAAACCATCACGAAATCGAATAGCCTCGTCAGGTCATTGAGTTAATGGCCAGGCACGTTCTGAGGACTCAACACCAATAGCAGAGTCCATCACACTTAGTTCCAGTGACTTCTGAGGGAATTTCCCAGGCCTATCGATGAATATTACGCAAGACTTGGCCAACGGCTGCGCTCGGAAATCCTAAGCCATCACAAGTGTCGGAGATAAGCACTGTGAGAGGGGATTTCCGGAGGCACAGTGATTAGCACGACCGGGTGGGGGGATATTCCGGCCGATTGGTTGCGCCATCACCGGTATCAGGCCTCGGAATCGAATCGCTGTCCACTAGATGGCGTATGAGGACGTGGGAGCGACGGCAGATGGTGGATTGAGCTCGACATGGCACAGCTCGAAAAAAAAGAGCCAGAAAACTTTTGATTTCGTCATGGGGATGGGGCGGAAAGGTATTTTGGACTGATTGCATCGTTTACTGATAAGCTTAACGAAAAGCCGTATAAACCGCTTTGCTATCGAGACGACGACGTGTCCGAAAAAACCGCCCAAGGCCCCGGCAACATCAGTTGTGGATTCGTTTCGTCGCACTCTGCTCAGTGAGCAGTGTGACAGGTTCGATACACTTCAACGATGCACTTTTACGATGTGATCAGCTAAAGTGAGTGCCAGTGAGTGTCAGAATTTCTTCGGATTTTCCCCAGGGAAATGGAGGATTTCGATGCGAAAAAGTCGCTCAGAGCACACCAGCCAGTGATTGAATATTATGGATGATTGGATGCGCTAATCGGGTGTCCAGATATACGACGATAAGCGTCAGACTTACGATGAGCTGCAACGCTGCAGCACTGGCTCAGCTCCACCCTCCACCCTCAGCCTCAGCTCTTCATCATCTCACTACTCGGGCGTCTCCAATTTGCATCCAAATTTAATACGGAAATAGCAACCGGCCTGCGGTCTATGCACATAGCGCGTCGAATATGTACATCGGGACAGGGATATCGCGCTGAGCCCTTTCCTTAGCACTCCATTCGGGCGAAAAGAACCCAAGTATAGGTTCGAAACAGGAAAATCGGTAGCGAATAGTAGAGCACAGTGAGAATAAGTCCACAAGCCTTTCAAGACTGATCAATTTATGGGGCTAACGTTTCGGCTTCTTAAGCTTCATGAGAGCCTGAAATGTTCAGAAGCAAATGCAACTTGCCCACCCGATTGCTTCAACAAAAAGACGAGACATTTTCAGTAGGCTTCAACGGTATCGATCGACTTGTAGATCATGTAGAGCACTTCAAAGGACAATTTCGTGTGAATACGAAAGAGAGTAAACAAGCTGATGCGATTTCAAAAGCAATTCTCCGTTTTTCAGCTCCTCCAAAAATGATACTGGATGTGGAGCGAAAGTTTCGCATACCATTAGGTCAGAAGCAGTTCAAATTGGTATGTCCGGTAATAGCCAATGATAAGGACATGTTAATGATACAATGGACGAAAAATGGAGAGCAGGTAAATGAGAAGAGCAATATTTATCATTTGTTTATTTGTTTTAATGGACGCGCAGGTGCCCTACTTCGAATAAAAAACGGAACATAGCGCATACAGTTGCTCAGTCGACCTTAACCCTTCCAGCCCTAAGTTGTTTTCAGCGCTAATTTTTTTCCTATTACGAAACGGGGTTCCCGGACGGGTGCAATGGTGGGACATTGGCGGGTGAAAAGCAAAATTCGGAAATAAAAGATTGTTTGAAGTGATCTCTGGTAGTGGTAGTAGGAATCTGAGGTGTACATCGACTCTCCTTTTGAGGTCAGCTCACCTCAGATCAGGGCACGTCTTATTTGCTCAGAACAAGCCTAAGTCTAAGCCTAAGCCGAACCCTAGAGCAAAGTCAATGTGTAATCATAAGCATGAGCCTGAGCCTAAGCCTAAGCTTTTACCCTAGGCTTCGATCATCGCGCAGCTCTAGTGGCCTGACCTAGGAGGAGAACTGATCGTCTATCAGAAATCTGTTGTAGCGCCGGCGCAGCCCTCTTAATTCGGTAGTGGCGATTGCCACTGTCCAGGCCGAAAGGGTTAAGCGAATGGAAAATAGGTTTTCATGCTGAAAGGGAAGGGAAAGGATTTATTCAAAATTACTCACCTGGGTTGGGCGATAGACCACGTAGAGACATTGGGTAAACGTTGGGTAACCCGAGTTAGGCGTTCGGCACTAGGGACAGCACTACTACATTCCGAGCACTGTATATGTGTGTGAAATCCGAAATCTTCTGTTTAATTTTTGTGCAATTCTCCTGCTTGTTCAGTGTCTATTAGTGGAGTAGGCTGTGGCTGTGTTTTGTTCACATTTGCGACCAGGCGATGGCCATCCATCATTGTCAGAATGAATGTGCCTACATTCCGAAAACCACTAGCACCCCATTATGGACATCGCTCAAGGGGCTTCCTCGCACACGACACACCACATTTCACAATCACTCAAACTCACACAGGCGTCTAGAAGTGCACAGCTGATAAATGCGAGAAAAACTCAGCACTCAGGGTAGCTAATTTGTCCCATGAAAATTTGTCCACTAGCTGTCCACTAGCACATAAAGAACTTCCGTTCTTCTTTCCGGGAAAACCATTGTGCCTTTTACTCTGTAAACTTACTACCCTGGTAAGAGGCACTTATTCAAAGGGATCATAAGTGTGGAAGATTTTTGTTAGATCATCTCACTGGCGTTGCAAACAGTGACAACGTTCGTGTGCTGATAAAAGGAAAAGTTTCAAGGGAATTGAAACTGAAATGGACAACGGAATGGTTCCCTTTGCCCTTCATTCATCTGAACGCAATAGCCCCTTCAGCAATACCCGGTAAGGGACGGGTCGTGTCCATCAAAGCGAGATCGCATTTTTGGAGAAAGTGGGGAAATAAGACCCCTAGGGTCTTGAATTTTTTTGGCAAAGTCAAGAGCTTTCGAAAATTTTCAATGTTTGCCATTTTCAGTACAATTTTCTGCACTTGAATACCCAGATCACCGTTAGACGAAGACTTTTGGAGTTTTGGAGCTGAGTTGGGTGTGAGTCAAGTAGTATCAGATTTCATTGGAAAATGGCTAGACGTCATAGTTGACTCTGGCTGCAGATATCTAGAAAAACCCGAGCACAATGCTGAATGACTTTCGGGAATTTTGTCTGACTCACACCGGAACCACGTTCCTACTCGCTTAAATCCTGTACTACCTGAGCTTTGGTGTACTACTAGAGATAGCATCATCCGATGTAAAACAAAAAGACAACCTCAAAAGTCTTTTGAACAAGCGATCGCCGAGTTTCGACATATTTTGTTCAAACATGTGAAAATATTTTGCTAGCTTCCCCGCCTTGTGGATCTTTGACACAGTGCTCTGAGTGAAACATATTTCATGTTTCCTATCGCTTGAAGATAGACAAAAAGCCTGGCTTTTCTCCGCGAAACGGTGTAGTTAGCATCGATTTTATCCCCCGTCCTGTGAGGTAGCATCCAGGTGTGTATGCATTTCACTGAGCCCACCACTTCACTTGCAAATAATCACGAAGTGAACCCATGTGGCGCAATGACAAGTTGTGGTGCTATCACTAGGCCCATTAATCGGGCCCTGGATCCGTTTTTTTCCGTACCAGTTGAAATTCATGCCTTCCTGGATTTAGTTGACACAAAAGACGGTTGCGAACACGATAATCTTCTGACTTTCATACTGATTCTGCTCCGTAGGATTATGTGTAGACCAATCCACTACAACGTCAATGAAAGAGCGTGGCGCAATCTGGAAACACGGACAGTGCGCATTTCGATCATGCATATTTAGGTGGAATGGGATTCGCGTTATAAGCTTGCCAAGGACGATCGTGAACTTCGAATGAAAACGGTTAGGCTTGACGATAGCGGTAGATATCAATGTCAAGCCACGAACGGTTTCGGTCATCGGACGGTTGACTTCACAGTACACGTATACGGTACGTAGCATGGTTGATTAATTATTTCATCATAGCTGATTTTCAAACTTTCAGATCCATCAGAGGATTCAGTGTCACTCAAAGACGTCATTGTTCTTGCTGATTCAAGTGAGTTAGCAATCATGCCGCTTAGACTTTCTGAAGTACTGAACAGTCAGCAATTGTTGCCTTAGAGGTCCTCTAACATTTATCTAGTAGTCATAACAAATGTAAGGTGGGAGCTCAAGAGTTGCTGGCTTCGATTCTTGTAGCCATTTGAGTTAGTTACTTCCTATTTGGTAGCAAATAGGTACTTGTAACTTTGTACCCGAAGACCTCTCTTTCTCTACCGTATGTTCTAGTACAGTGCACTTTGCCGTTACAGCATCTGCTCCGGCGTGGCTGATCGACATGAACCTCGATTGGTCCTCTCCTATGCAAATTAACCGAGGAGGCCGTATGGAACTGCGATGTCCAGCGCGAGGAAATCCTTTGCCGGAAATTCGATGGTACAAGAATAACATACGCATCACTACTGGTTAGTAATAAGTTACGCTTCCCAGTTTCATGACTGAAGATGACTAAATCATCGTCCAAAACTTACGAAATCACGTCATTTCAATGACACGAGCCAAGTTCCGCATTTCGAAGGCTTTTCGATTTTCTGGTGCGATTTCCGGTTTTCGAGTTCGATGGGAGATCTTTTATATAATATATTGTCAGGTCATTAATTTGATGTCTTTTGTATTCTTCAAAGAATAGCATATTTTTCATATGAATTTTTGGTTTATTTTCATATTATTGGGTCGCACTATATACGATAAGCTTATCGAAAAGGTTAAACATACCACTATCCGATTTTCGATTTCCGATTTCCACATAACTAGCTGTACTTCTGTTCTCCATCCTCAGCTCCACGTTTCAGACTCTCCACCGCATATAGCCTCTTTTGTGGTGGATCCAGCTGGACTGGATGATTCTGGGGACTATCGCTGTGTTCTTGAGAATCGTCTCGGTTCAATTGAGGCCATCTTCAAAGTAACCGTTGGCGACTTCTTCGATGACGGCAAGCGGCTGGGGGTTCTTGATGGCCCAACTGTGAGTTTTACCTTGCAATTCCAAAGACTACTGTGGCTGAGGATACCGCAGCTGAATCGGCAAATAAGTATGATCTTTAGGACCAGATGCCAGAGCCGATAATTGATCAGCCGTACAATACCACCGTGAGAGTTGGCCACACAGCTCAATTTCTGTGCAAGGCCAAATCTGCTCAGAGCCCCTTAATAAAGGTTCGTTTTCCGCCAGATTTCAGCGAGTCGCAGGAAAATGACTATGCTTATATTGCAGTGGCTCAAGGAAGTCGAAGACCCAGTCGCGGTGCGACGTCGCGATCCAAACGCGACGATAGTGAACGCGAGCGGTATGCACCTGTTGGTTCTCGAGCAGACCCAGGTCGAGTCAGTGTCTCGAGATGGCCCTGATCATCTGTATACGAATCGACTTGTCATTCCAATGGTAAGTTCACTTCCAGCCAGCCAGAATTCTTTCACATACAGACAAAATCAATCAATCAGCAACATTCAGGTGACAAAGGAACACGCTGGCCGATACATCTGCGTTGTCACCAGCACGCAAGGACATATCGTCTACAAAGCCGCTCAATTGAATGTCGTGGCTGGTGGGTTTCGCGAATCAATGTATCGATCGGGTTTTCTGAAAGGAGAAGATTTTTCCGTGATTTAGCCTACGACTTCGGTTCTATTGGCCTTGGAATGGACAACTTCTGGTACTTCGTCATTCCTATTGCTGTGGTTTTCGTCGGTCTGGTTATAGGAGCTATCGCTTGGTTGCGATGCAATCAGGAGGTAGTTTTTAACTTCCTAGATATCGAGATTAAAATCGAAACACCGATTTATCGATCGTAGTGGGATGAAGCCTAAGCTTACTGGATATCCAGAGGAAGCATCTATAGCAATCTTTAATATAGAGGTCATAGAAGGTCCACTTAAAGTGGCCGAGATTTCTGGTTCTGGTTGCTCATAACTCACAATTGAATAGTCAAAATAAATACTCATGAGTAAAAATGACTTTCAGCCATCTTCACCCAAATGCTTGTCAACTAAGCCGCCTCCACCACCACGAATTCCACCTCCAGTGGCACCGGCAGAATATCCGGGAAGTACGCATCAGTTCACTCAGGAATACAGTATAGAAAAAACTAGGTAAGCTGTTTTGTATGTGTAAATCGATAATTGTCAAATTTCGCTGTTACCCTTCCCTGAAACGGTGTGATAGCAGGTGGCAAAACTTACTATACCCTTGGTCCAGGTGTCAAATCCAGCAAGAATCTTCTCCAGGCCAAGCCTCTACATCTTGTTGGGTTATTGGTACCACCATCTTCTGGGAAAATAAAACAAGTCTTCTACGTCGACTGGCTCCTGCACGCCATTTCGCATTCAATCGCCATTACGAATGGATGGATGTGAAATGTGTGGCGTATCTCGAAACGGGGCCAAACATCACCAGAAGCTTTATCTTTTTTTACAGAATTATCATCGAATTAGTACTACGTCAATAGTCAAATGGAGGTAGCCTCGGCGGGGAGAATAGGAGTGGGATGAGTTAGGAAAAGAAGCTACCACGTCAAGATTGTAGACTCTGGTTTTTGATTTTGGTGCTCATGTCCCTAGAGGAACATTCAAAACAGGACCAACGCTATGCGACACCAGCACTAGGCCCAGGAGTGGATGGAAGAGTCAAGGGAAGCACTAATTGCTCATATCCTACCATGAAATCCCTTCTCCTCGCTAAGGCTTATTCCTGATTGTTGTGAGAGGCTCACAATGTTACTTCTAGGGCTTGTGATGGTGAAATTGTTGAAAGAGTGCAGAGGGATGAGCGCATTCCTAAGTTGGGACTTGGACCCTAATCTCGTGCTTTTTGCGTACGATCCAGCAAGCCAAAATAGTTCAAAAATGGGAATTCTGAAAAGTTCAAGTGGAAAAAATAGAAATATTATAATAATTGAAGAATTTGGTAGATTGATTGCACAGCTTTTTTTGTTCACAGTCAGCTGTTCTGGAGAAATGTAGTTGACGCTACAGCTCATCGCTGAAAGGAGTTCACTTGTACTTTTGACAAATGCGGTATTCACCGAAACATTTGATTGTTAAGGAAAAAAGTCAAAATGTAAATTTTCTTAAAAAACTACAAAATTAATTTGTGCTAAACCAGGCCATACCACCCAACCAATGTTTGCTAGGGAAATCAGCTGAAATGGAGGTAGCGTCTTACAACTGTTGTACTTGTAAAAATTACACTTTATTTCATTTAAGGTCACCGATCATTTTGAACAACTCGATGTTCCATCAGAAGTATCCGATAGGCATCGCTACACTTGATCGCAGCAACATTCAACGGGCCCAACGAGGTAATCAATCACATTTTAACGCGGCTAATCCGTGCTCAACCACACAGGGAGAACCCGAACGCAGTGGATGCGTGTTCATTGAATTTCAAGGGATTTTCCACCCCACCTCATCGCGACTCTGTGGTGTAGACAATCCGAGGTCTTAAAGTTTGCAAACTATTTCTTGCAAAGTTGGGCATAGGTAAGGCAAGGCAAGTGAAGAACCACTACCTGCTCTAAAGGCAGATCCGAGCTCACTTACACTGAAGAGGTTCCTTCCTGGCTAGAAGTGCTCAGTTCGCCACTGCAGTAAGCTCGCCGTACTGGTGCTTCTAAACGCGTCCTTAAGGCGCTGAGCGCTTAAAATTTGCATCACCCTACGCCGAGAAGGATCAGTGCCCGCCCACCGCGTTAATACCTTATCTGTGTCATAGTGCTGATCTGCTATGCTGTCTCGACGCGGACTTTCCGATTTTTTGCGTCTCGTGGTCACAAACTGCATCCCTCCTCGAAAGGCCGAAGTATAATTGAACCCGCCTGGTCAGAATTAAATAAAAACCCTACAGTATTTCATCCAACCAATAAATCGGCTCACCCCGATTTTCTACCTCGCGAACAATTTCCGATTTCCGGTACTTTGTTGGCGCTGGCTGTGACTTCCCGATTTCTACATGATTATCGTACTTTTTTCAGGCATGGATGAAATGTCAAATCTTTATGATAACAGTTCACCACAGCCATACTGGACTCAGCAGATGATGCATCGGCCAATCGCCAGCTCAATCTATACGGCGAATTCCGGCAATTATCGAACACTTGAGGTGAGGACTAGTCCGACATCAATAATCAATCATCAATGATCTGAATCAATCAATAACTCTCCAGTCGTACATCATGAGCCCCAAGTTTTGCTCTTGTCAGATTTCACCATATAACCTTCTCAAAGTAATTCCATATCATTTTTCAAGCATTCATTCGTTCAGGTTGGCTATCCTCATGCTCGTAACTACCCGTCAATGTGTAGCGATGAGTACTCTGAACAAGAACAGCCATTCATTACTTACAGAAGATGAAAAGTTAATTAGTTAGAAATGGCTTGGTTCACACAACGACGAGCTAACGGATCGATCAGAAATATCCCCGTTTCATTTACTTGGCTGTAATAACATAAAAGAGCTAGTATGTAGAGCTTAAAATTCCGTTCATCATTGAACACAAAGAATCTGTAAATTAAGATTGTCATTCTTTTTTATGTCCTTTCCAACAAAATTAACTTTACTTCAATTATCGATTGATCGTGATTTATGCAATAACTTCTCTCGATACTCTGGATATACGGGTCCTTTGAAGAAATTGATTGAATATTCATGTATAACATTTGATTGTATCCTATTTCATACTCCTCGTGACTATGCCATAATTACATTCAGAAGTATGATTCTTTTTTTCTACTTCTGTTTTGCACTCGTGTATAGTATACGGTAGGTGATTTCTATGGTTGCTATACGTTGTTGAGCTTGTTCCCTCATTTGCCTCCCGAGCTTAACACCCCCACTTGACACCGGTACATCACTCGTCATCATCTAGATTATTCGTTTTTTTAATTACTTTATTGCTTTGTATAAATATAGAGAGTTCCGCGTTCGTTTATGTTCAGACATATAGATTTGACTATGAAGAAGATTGGAATGCGCCATGCATCAATTTTCCGGGGGATGAACAACTAGGGCTTATAAGGAAGAAAATAGAAACACACAGCATATAGCTAGCGGGGAATGGTGAAAATGTGAAATTTCACTGTGTAAAATTGAAATGAACTGGGAACCCTTATGACCCTTTTCCAGCATATTTTTTGGAATGCGACACGTACTCGTTTCCCTAGTAACAAAATTAGTGACATTTCAATGCGCAATTTGAAATCCTTGCGGAGCAGGCGGACGGTCGATCTATCGCACTATTCAATGTCCTGGGCCACCACGGTTCCCCTCCCCCTTGTTCTTTTTAGATTTCTTCGAACGTGCACTCTTTCTTAGCGCTTTGCGTAGTTAAGCCTGCCACCCATCGATCTCCAACAGTACCAAACTGAAACGGCAAAAATTTCGTAAATTTTGCAATTCCTTTAAACTCCGCAAGATTCCTCTCACTATCCCAAAAAATTCTTGTTATAGTCCTACCAATGAAACTGTCCCATTCCAACAATACGGTTAGTCTGAGCGACTACCATACAAATACCACGACAAAGGACCTCTGTTTAACTGCCTTCACGGATTGGCTGATCTTGTCTGCAGCGAAATGCCACGATTCTCGCCTGTGATCTGAAAGCAAGCATTTGACCGCAGAGGAACGAAGGCTCGTTGGCCTGGGCGGGATCAGATCCCTGATCCCATCTACGGACCGGGAGGGGTGTTGGCGTCAGCTCCCACATCACCTTCATCATTGCATTGTCATCTAACCACAGCGTATTCCTCAAACTGGTAAGCTATGAAGAGTGAATCTGCACAGGGGCGTCGGGGCACTGACAAATGCTGTGAACCTCGGCAGATCCTCCAGAATTTTACAACTCACGACTTTTCGAATTTGGCAGTAAATCAGGAGTCTTTCCTCTGCTATGAAGAGTCGATAACATTGATGGAATGAGGCCCAACGTTTGAATGCATAGCTCTGTAGTATTAGACGCGAACAACACATTTCACCTGATCAGGAAGGGTGCTTGAGAGCGCGATGGATAGCAGCGTTCAGCCCACAGCGGGAGCAAAACCAAAGAGAAAGGTGGGACCATGTGGTGAAACGGTAAGGATTGCTTAAGCTGATAATGTTACCTTATTAGCCGGATACTGAACAAACAAACAGCTTGGAACTGCATTTTTTAGAATGTGGCAAGACATATGACAATAGTGGCTTACCAGTCAATCTCTTAGTGTTTCCAATTCACATTCATTGTGAAGACAGCGCTCAGACATCTGCCATAACCCACTGAGAACATACGCCGCGAGTCGTATGATTGGCCAACAGAACATTAGTAAGCGCCAGACATTAGTCATTTGAAGTGGCGCGGCGGAAAAGATCGCGACGGAGATTTCTGTAAGGGGCATAATCTTACTGTAGACTCATCAGTTGCGCACAAAATTATTGGATTTTCAAGGGAAGATATAGCACTGACAGACAGCAAAGGAACCGTTCTAGTGATTATATTTACAAAGGTTCTATCCTTGTTTGATCCAAGCGGTAGTGCAATGCCCTCCATCTCGCATGGCGTTAACCCGTTGTCGACAGCATGACACGCATGCGCGTCAGACTCTCACACGCGAGAATCGCTTTGCTTGATTTACACAATATTTTTCTCTGTTAGAAAGTTGCCCATAGCGATCACATCTAGAGTATTTAACACTTTTATCAGTAACGAAATTTTTGAAGGGAGGATGCCGGATTTGAAAAAATAATTAAAAAAATGAGGGCAAGAAACACGAAAAAAGGTTGTTGTCAATGTGTTGAAATGCGATTTCACCAATCCACTGTGATTCCCACGGCGCTGCATGTAAGCAAACATGGAAAATCACTGCTGGACTCGTCAGGAAAATAAATGCCTTCCATCAACGTTGCCTTCGCCGAATCATGAAAATACGGTATACAGATCACATCACTAATCAGGAAGTCCTACGCCGCACAGGTATGAGCAGCCTCCACGTGATTGTGGCACGGCGCAGACTCCGACTGGCTGGACATACCCTACGTATGCCACAATACCGCGTTTCACAAGGTCATATACGGGATTCCTCCATCAGCGAAAAGAGAAAGGGGCCAGAAACCGTGGAGACGAAATTCAATATTCAACATTCCAACGTTCGATAATGACCTAAAGACCTCTGATGTTTGAGGGACGAGGGCAAAATGCTTGCGCAAGATCGTTAGCAATGGAAACAATTCGTCTCCCGATGTGCTCAGCACAGGCGAAACTAACTAAACATGTAGGATACCCTTACTACATATATCCCTCTGAAGGGATCATTGGCAGATAGAGGGGGAATAAGTGTGAGAATAGTAACTGCGCAAATGTAAACGTTGCCAGCTACCAATCGGCTAGTCTCAGAACTTAAGCTGTTCCACTCAGTCCAATCGTGGAGTGGCCCTTTGAGCCGATCATGAGTTCGTATCATACCTTATCCAAAAATGGGATGTGAGAGTACCTGGAGTTTTATATGCTTCCTTCCAGCAATAGAAACGCCATCTGCCAGCCAGTACATAACGATAATCGCAGCATCCTGTAGCTCCAACCACAGGATTCTTCACACCTGCAGGGGTTGAGCGCTAAGCGTGGGTCGGAGAATCTCAAACGAATGTTTGTACCCGACCAGATAAGAGGGGTCCTAATTGTGTGTTCAGCACCGTGTCGAAAATGTCTCTTTCGAGACTCTCTCTTTTGTAGAACGTCATTTCGGAGAAATTTGCACGCGTCCAGAGTTAGAAATAGTTTTAAGTTCTGCCACAAGACATAACGCTCCCCGTTATCAAGAATACATGTTGGTTCAGTCATATTCCTCCACATCCCCTTCCTGTGCTCAGACTGATGGTCACATGAGGGAGGGCTCTGAGATTTTCCACGATGCTATGCCTCATTCTGTCTATGCGATTCCTTCTGTCATACCATCTACAGTAACGGTCAAAAGTATTCGCCGAAGCGGATCTTCGAGCATCTCCCTCTTCCTTTTGAAGGGATCTAGAAGTCAATTGGTGATTTTTTCCTCCAATTATTTTGAATGCTCAAAAATCAAGGAATCAAAAACACTATTAGGCACTGCATACCAATATCCGAAGCGATAAAAAATGGTAGAGAAACCGTTTCAGCGACACTTTTGACCGTCACTATACATATGTGGATAGGAGCTCCTAAAAGTCACTTCGGGATCGCTGAGTTATGTTCAGGAAACTTCGCCCCAGAAATCGAACACCTTCCGAACAGGGGTGCAACCGGAAAACAAAAAAAACAATTCTTTATTTCTCATCCAGAAAGCACAGAAAAACACAATACATAACATTTCTTTGAGCAAGCAGGGAAAGGAGAATACTAAATGAAATCACTGAAAACAATAAACCTGTATCTTGGGAGGGCACAACCTGTTCATTTACAAAACCGTTCCGATAAGAGAGACAGTCTTAACCTAAAAACAAAAACAAAACAAAAAAAACCAACAAACAAATAATATCAACATAAAAACTAAAAAAAATATAAACTTAGAAAACTGTAATAAAAAAAAAGAAATGATGTTGAGGGGCTCAGATGGCAACACTTGGCAGTACGCGACTAACTCCGGTAGGCGATGGATTAGTTCTGAACGTCGTCGCTGTGGCGATACATTGAATCCAGTGGATTAATCAGTTCCAAGTCCATCTCATCATCGAACTGAATCAAAATTTTATACAATCCTTATTCTTTCACTGCATGACACCACGTTTTTCGTTTGTTTTTCTCGAACTAACAGCTGTACTATGTCCTGGTCTGAAGCGGAACATCATTTCTTAATACAGACTCTTTCAAATTTGGCATTCCCCTGCGTGTAAGTCATCCGACAAGGGTGCTCGAGCCTTTCCTAAGTGAGCTGCGGCAGCTGCAGTTTTTTTTCTTTTATCGCTGCTCCTCTCATCTGTAGCGCTCTCTCGCCCCATACTCTCCTCTCCGCGCTTAGTCTCTCATTCCCTTAGCACAGCCGATTAGGAAGGTGAGTGAGCCCTTAACCTGAGCGTTTTCGACGGATTCTTTTCCTTTTTTCTTTACTGCCGGCCCATTTCGCACCAATACATTCGTATTCGTGTGCAAGAACGGCACAATTTGATCCTGGAGCATGCCTTTAAGTGGTGAGATGTGCTGCTTACATCTACTCTTGCACTGCATTAGCTACCCTCAGACATATTTTTTTCGATGAGTAGAGATTTGAATGCATTTCTACAAGTTCCTGCCGAATCCCCATATATTCACTCTTTCGGTACTCTCGACGGATATAATCATGCACTTTTTTCCACAGTCTTCTGGTTATCCCTCACCAGCACTTAATCATTGGCTATTGGCCTAAGGTTGCGG